ATCACCGGTCTTGAGTGGAAAGGTAGTAGGTACTTCAAGGTGGAAGACCGCTCGGATCCCGGAAACGTGAAAGAGTACTACATAGTCTACGAAGATACAAAATCACTGGCCAGCTGCAGTGAAATCAGACAAGCCAAAACCTTGTTGGTTCTTAAAGGATGCGAGGGATGCAATTCTGATTATATTTACGCTGCTGACAACATCCTGTCGCACAAAAAGTGCGGGTCATCAAATTTGCAAAAACTTGTTGACTTTCAAACCGAATGCAAATCATCGAGGTATCGGTATAGCTATTGGACTGAGAAGGAATGTATAAAGGATTTGAAAAACCAAATCAAGAAAATGGGATTTCTTGCTACTAATGTTAACACCAACTACAACCCGTGCACTACTAGTGAGAAATGCAGTGGTCATGGTCAATGCAAGCAGATTCCTTTTACGAAGACCCATCAGTGCATTTGCGTGAGCCACTATGGTGGAGAGTCTTGCGAAAAACGAATTGAATTTGATGATACCACAGAGAGGTTAATGGCCCAACTGCGCAAGACATTTAATGTTGTGAACGGTGTTCCTACTGCTGTTGACATTTTCTTTTCTATAAGGTCTCTGTCACAAAAGCTCGACCTWGTTCTGCTAAAGATCAAGGCCTCTTTTGCTCACACGAACAACATCATACAACATTCGAGAATCATCTACAACGTCGAAGACATCGCTGACCTTTATGCAAAGCTCCAAAAGRACRAACTGAGTTTCGATCGGTTYGGTCAGAAAATGGACCTGTATTTGAAGACGATCACGGCTTTTCAATTGCAGAATAGACTCAAGAAAATGATCCTTGGTCAAGGTACATTGGACAAACCAGGAAAAGACATTTACAATTCATACAAGCTTGAYTACTTGAGTCACAATGGCGGAGGCTGTTCTGGAAGTTACAATGCAGACATTAAAGGATTCAGAGACGATTTGGCCTACTTGGATCAGGCACTCGGAGAAGCGTTGTTACTACATAAGAAATGGTTGCTGGAGACGAAAGGTACGACTGACGCCCTCCGATCACAGTACAAGAGAGAAGCCCAAGAAATAGAAAATGTTTTCAAAGRCCGTCAGAAAGCCTATAACCAATACTGGAACAAGTACAGCTGTGGTACTCTTGGTGTTGAAGGTACGACAATTTCCTGCAAACACCAGCTGTCCTTCGAAGGAATGACGATGACTGTAAGTTGTGACAAGCAGAGACAACCTACTCCAGGAACAGTAAAGTGTAGAAAGATCAACGGCGTCTTGAAATGGGACTCTCAGCCCAAGTGCAAATTTGTTTGGGGGAATTGGCGTCACGATTGGACTCGCTGTTCTACAAATTGTGGTGGTGGGTTTAAGACCAATTACAGATCTTGCTTGGGGACGAACAATGTCGATGACTGYAAGCGAGATCAAGGCGGATTGAATTACAGGACTACAGCGTGTAATACTGTAGACTGCTGCTCTGCTGGCTTTGGGAAATTCAGGTGCTCCAATGGCAAATGCATCAATAAGAATTGGATCTGTGACGGGGACAATGATTGTGGTAACAAAGATGACGAAAGCCGATCGCGTTGTCCATCCTACCTTCGTTCGGGGGACACAATAGCTCTAAAAAGTAACGCAAGAGGCAGTAGCTGGGTAAGCTGTTATTGTACTGTTAACTGCGGTGTAAAAAAATGTAAACTTCGCAGTTGTCCTGGTTCTACTATGGATTCGGGAGATTGGTCAAGGTGCGGCAGTGAAACGTTTTACATAATTTTGACGTACAACAGTGAATCTGGCAGAGCTATTCGAAACGGTGATGGTGTGGCGTTTTATTACGGAGCTGAACATTGGCTAAGCTGCTGGGGAAGTGGTAATAGATGTCGAACAACGATTTGTCCTGGCAGGTTCACTTATGATTTTAATAAGAACTGCTGTGGAGAGATGTTCTGGATATATGCACCAGATCGTGGCAGTAACAAACCCATCCACAAGGGCGATACCGTCTTTATAAAGTATTCTTATACGCGTGGCTATTCGTGGTGGTTAAGCCAAGACGATGGTGTCATCAAAACCCGAACGTGTCCTGGCGATTCCATAACACGGGACGACAAGTCACGATGCAGCTCCGAGAGTTGGAACATCATCGTCCGATAGACAACATGCAAACCTTCCAGGTAGCGGGTAGCACCTGTCAAGTGGTGTTACTTCAGAGTGTGTCGTCCCTGCCTACGCGAGACCCGGGCTCAGCTGGCTCCKGCTGACAGTACCCGGTAAGGGCCCCTTCTCAGGGATACGAGAACAACCCCACTGCCTTGTGGGTGTCTCGGGAGAGACTAAGGCTAAGGGAGTAAACCCTGACAGAAAATCGAAAAATCAGTATCGTGAAGCAATGAGAAGATCAGCAACAGTTCCTCCTCTTTGATGCATACCAATACTCCTTCCATTAAACCGTGTTGCATTCTTCACAAGAAACCCAACAAGTAACCATCAGCAAAGATGTCAAGGAACATGTAAAGCGAAACTAGATGCTTCAGGCGATACAGGATAACGAAAATGGAACTGAAAAATGGAACGGACTTGATTACTGGTATACTGTTATATTTAACAATTTGTTAATTCAGTGTGAGGGTATGATTTAAATTTTTTTCCTTTTTCTTCTTTTTTTTATGGTCCAAAAGCATTTAATTTATATTTACTCATCTTGCATCACATTGCAGTAAGCTTTTACGTTTGTACGAAATCTTAAGTGCCCTTAATCAACGATTTATGTTGAATATCTATGGATTTGAAATTGCCGACTATTAATTGGTCACATCCGAGTTTAGGTTGTGTCGTTTACTCAGAAATTGTGGTTTGTTTTAGAAGTGGTGTTCATTTCGATCACGTGTAGTACTATAGTATTTCGATAGGTTTTAGTATACACCTAAGTTAGTGTATAGGTCAATTTTTGGCAATATCGTTAGACTGGAAGAAAGCATGAAATTTGGCTCAGAGTTAACTTAGACCCTGTAGACCAGATTTAGAAGGGGTGTCACGAAATCTGCTGTTGGGGGAGGGGTATTTTCAGTTACATTTCTAAATTTCAGTAGCAAAGAATGCTATGGAAGACATGCGTGTATGACCCAATCCAAAACAAATTTACTTCCTGGTATGGAATTCACTGGCACCCCTTCTGAATTTTGTTTCTTAGGCTCTGCGTTTCAAGTGACGTAAGGGAACTTAGTGCCAATTTTGCTCTCTACTACATTCAAACGACCTTTGCATTAAGCAAGTCACAATAAAACATTACCAAGGGACTGATTTAGGGCACGAAATCTTGCATAACTAATAATAATAATGATGATAATAATATTAATAATAATAATAATAACAATAATAATAATAAAATAAATTCTTAATATAGCATGTTCCACAAATCTCAACACGCTTTACAAAGCATAAAAGAAAAATATATTATATTAATAATATTGAAACAGATAAAAAATGAAAACTTATAGAAATATACATTTGTTAAATATAAAACACAGCAATAAATTGATTGAAAATTAGATAAACTGATTAGTTCTTGTATCGTATATAAGATAAATCAGCTTTTTCTGACATACGCTTATTATTTTTAATTTGTTGCATTTTATTTGGATGACAATAGATTAAATGTTGTATTGTGTGATTATACTACAAAATAAACGTTACCTAAATACTATTACTGCTCGTTATTCATTTACTTTTCATTTTTTCCCCCAGGGACGAATCCAGAATTTTGTTCAGGGAGGGGTGCTGCACACAATGTTAACACAGGGAGGGGTACACACCCCTGCCCCCCTCCCCTGGATCCTCCCCTGGATCCTCCCCTGCCCCCACATATTCAATGACATCATTATAAAATAATTAAAGTTTTACTTAATAGCAACCCTGTTGGAAAATAATTCATAACTGTGGAAAATAATATAAAGGTATGTAACTTATTCTTACAGAAAAGCTAACTACATATAATTTGCTACAAACAATAATTACAAATACATGAAGGAGGCATGGAAATTCACAGTTTAAATTTTACAAAAAAAAAACATTCTTTTTTACAGTATGTTTCTGGAAGTTGAAATAAAAATGTAAGGTCTAGTGCAAAATTTTAGTGTTTTGCAAATGCTGAAGTTAGAAACATGGAAGGTTGGAATAGAGCGGTACCATTTCATTAATAAGCACATTGAGTTCTTTTAAAATGTGTTCTTGGCTGATTTACAAAAATACCTTTTTATAATAGGATTCCCATAATTGAAATAAGAAATGAATGAATAAATAAAATAATAATAATAATAATATTTTACAACCACCACTCCCCATATGGGGCTCTTCCATGAGGTTCCCTCCACACTCACATCACCATGTTCTATATTTACAACATACAACACTCAACTCACACGTTGATTTATACGGAGGGAGGAAACTGGAGAACCCGGAGACAACCCTCGTAGCATGGGAGAGAACAACACATCAAACAAACTCAATCCACATGTGGCGACCGCAGGGCTCGAACCAGTGACCAGAGCCATTGGACTCACAGCGGTGAAAGACAACGCGTTAGCCACGAACGCCACCCATGCTACCCACATGAATGTTATTTGGTAGTGGTTTCATAGGATGGCCCTTCCCTATATTAACTTGTCTACAAACTATCAGTAACCCTTTTTATATTTAGACCTAAAATGCTAAGTATCAACCAGTTTCCCAACTGGTTCAATTGGTGCAAGTCATGTTGTGATGGAAGGAGGACATGCCAAACACATTATTGACTGGTTCAGGAAGATCTGTAGTATCAGACATACTACTATAATATTACATATTACTATAATATATACAGCCCGTAAAGTCCTCCACTGCAATGTAAAGCGCATTGAGACAATGTGATAATGCACTATATAAGAACCCCATTATTATTATTATTACTGCATCAATTTTGATACAGTCCTGTTAGTCTGTTTAATCAGGTTCATAGACTGTCTATAGAATATAGGACATTATTATCTGGTTGATACGGTTTTCTTTGTTATTCCTAGGGCTATACATCCCATATAGTCCTGGTATAGTTAGTTAAAAATCAACCACACCCTAAATCCATTGTTTGATGTAGGTTCTTAAATTCGGCGGAAATTAAGATTCTTAAAGCCGGAGGCGGAATTGATATCAACAGGGGAGAGCGGGGCTGAATTATAAACCTGGGATAGGTTTTTAATTACTTTTCCTTATACTTGCCCGAGAGAACGCAAGGTATGAAAACAATACTATTTTTATTTCTATCGGAACAAGAGAGTGCAAACGCGGATATATTGTACTCTATTTCCAAAAGAACAAAGCAACAGTAATCTATCTCTGTGAATTCATTATAATTTAGTATTTCGTGTTTTGGATCGAAACAATGGAATTTAGTGCTTAGTTAATATTTTAAACCAGTCCAAACACACGGGCTCGGTTTTGCATTAGAATTCAAGACCTCGGGCCTGCGGCCCTCTGTCTTGAATTTTAATGCAAAACCTCGTCCTAGCGTTTGAACCTTTATATATATCCCTTATATACTAATATATATATAGCCTGTGAATACATAATGAGATCTGGAGTGAAACTTAGAAATTTTGTACTTAAACCATGTTATGAAAAAAAAATGTTTTGATACTGTAAATAAACTTAGAACCTAGCTGGAATCGAACACAGACCTTTGACCTATACCACACTTTACAATAAATAATAAATAGCAATAGATAGAATAAGAGAAAAATATCAAATGCTCTTGGCAGGATTCGAACCCATGTCCTCGGTATTCTAAATAGCAATAGTTCTTTTGATGAAGTTCATTAATATTACATTAAACACAATTGAAAAGCATTTGTTTAGTATTCCCTCATTAAAACAAAAAATCGGATTTATGACATCCTGTGGGACTATTTCTTGTGTGAAAACCTTCTCAATAAGATAACAAGACAGGTACATGCCTCCAGTGTTCAGCTATAATGAAACATATACCTCAAGCCTGTGGCCCTCAGGATGTAACTCTTACATAGAATCGTTGGTCTTATAATTAAGTGTTAATCAAAGTATTATGATCATCCGGGTGGATGTAGTCCTGAGTACTGTTTGATGTGACTGACGTTTCGACAACCTGAGCGAAAGTCATATTTAGAGTCAAGTGAAGAATTAAGTCTTGAAAACGTTTTGTAACATTACATGGCTATAAACAACTCCTGGGCTGATGTAAGTCAGGACTTGGCTAACTCACATATTGAATATTGTAATTTAACATTTGGTGTTTTGTGAAGAGAGGAAAATTGTATAACCTGAAGAAAATCATTGAATCAAAGGGGAGACCTAAAAAATATGCACCTCCATATAAACTACCCATGATTCTGATAAAATTATATAGTCAAAAGAAAAAAAAGGTAAAACTATGCAATGTCTGTTTACTAATAACCCTTGTAATGTAGTACATGCATGTATAAAACCAGAACAGCTTCTATAGCAAATAACAAAGTATCTGGTGATAGAGCAGTAGAAGTATGTCTTCTTTTAGACTGCCCTCCTGAGATTGGCATAAGCCAGTGATGAATATCAATATGAAAACAACTCAACAATGATTCCCTGAAAGTGATTTCCTTGCTGTTCTTTCTTATCTTTTATCTCTTATCTTCAATGGATAAGCTTATACTTTCAAGGCAAAATGGGTAATATTTTACAGGGGAGATTTAGATGGTCTCTAAAAAATTTTATAGTTTGACTTTTTTACAAACTTCAAGCAAACCCATTTGCATTACTTCCAGCAAATATTTCAGGAAAATTTGTTGTCAGCTTCACTGCTTCGTTGTACAGGTTCATGTCTGAAATAACCACAAATCCACATCAGAACGACCTTGCACATCAAGGCTGCAAATATTTTTTTCCATAAGGCTGTCATATTTCAGATCAGGGACAAGAGATGACCTGACATGCAGCCAGTCTTATTGGACGAAAGCTTCTTTCAAATTTGTAACCAAGAAAAATGCTATGTGCCTGTGGTAGTTCTGTCAGGTGAAACCACTAAAACAACATGGTGGCTGCTACATGTCACACTGTTCACTCATAATTTCTGACCCTGGCAGGGTATAGTTAAACTAAATCATCTCAAGGAATAAGTAAAAATTGAGGGAAAACACTGTTTTTTAAAGGGGCACTTGGATGAAAATGCCCTGATTTTTGAAAGTTCGAATAATTGAAGTATATGAGGATAATATGACTCGATCAATTATAAATATGAAAATCAGAGATGTGAAAACTTTAGCCTAGGAGCCATTTGCTATTGAGATATTTTGGGTTAAAAGTGAAAAGAACAATAGGGTTGAGTAAATGACTTCATTTACTCACAATTTAGATACTGAATAAAATTGATAATTTTTCCCTCTCAATTTTGACTATGAAGGAAACATGTTGCTTGGCTACTATCTGGGCCATATAGATAAGTTTAACCAAGTTTAAAGTCATTTCCAATTTTCATCCAAGTGCCCCTTTAAGGAAGCTCTAAAATTCTCATAAATTCCTTACCAAATTCCTCACTTCCGTTGTAGCTTATAAGCCTTTGTGCTGATATCGTACCATCTTTTTCAGCTCTACCAATAATCTCAATTACTCCCTGAAGAGCTTCTTCAAGCTGACAAACAAAGGCCAAGGAAAGAATTATATATGACTATCTGGGCTAGGTCACAACACTAGTGTCACAAGAGTTAGAAAGGACCCTTCTCCAAAGTATCGTGGTTGCAAGGCTAACATTGAAATACAAAAGAAATCACATCTTTTCTCAATAGAATTTATTTGTTGTTTTTCGTTTTGTATCTTCATGTAAGTCTTGCACTTGAGACAATTTTAAGAAGGTTCCATTGCAAGCAAGATTGGAGCAAATTTGTGACAACTGTTAAATGGAAAGTATTGGAGGAAGAAACACTAGCCTTTCTTTCTTCTGAAAGTATTGCAAGAGATTTCTCTTGCTGGTTAAATCTTCCAATCAAACTTCCATTCAAATTCAAATTTGATTCTCTGGTTCTCACAAGATTATAATTATAAGTGACACTTTAAGAAATGGGATTTGAAAAAGAAAGATATCTAGAGATCCTTTTATTCTAATCATGTCATCTTTTCCCTTCTAATTGCATTTCCATTTTTTCAGTTCAAGTGATAAAATGCATATAGTCCCCTTTCTTTTTCAATTAATACAACTGTGAATCTTGATTACAGACTCATCTTAGCCTCGTTTTAGAGGAACTTGAAATCCAACAGACTTATAATGATATCTATCGATATTTAACTTTAACAAGGCTTAATTAAAACCTGTATAATTGAGTCGGCGGTCATCAAACGCGGTGGTATGCATTGAATGAGAATGAGGACTATCTCAGCTTTGATTCCAATGCTGGATGTGAACCAGTCCTTACAACAACTACTTACTGGTTCTGAAAGGATGACGTGAATGGTCTTATCATCGCTCGTGAGGACCTTCAATTCTGTTCCTGTGTTATTAATCTGCAATCAAAATAGTGAACAAGACACTGAATTTGACAAACGTTGCTCACTATCGTAGAAATAATGAATAACAATAAAGATGTATATACTAAAGATGTTGGAGCCTTGAAATAATAGTAATAATAATAGTCATAGTTATAGCCATAGCAATTAGAGTGCTAAAAATGTCTTTCCAGAAGCACTAAATGTCTCAATATTAACCAATAAATTATAATGAAACCAAAACTAGGAATACTAAGAAAACATCATAAGAAATAAAGAAGAAAGTCAAAACTAGTTATCTTAAATCAAATCTTAACTTCAGCAGCTCAAATTAATCGTCAGCTTCACAAAGTTCGATTCCACAGACTTCAACGACATGAAAGTTTACCTCAGATATTTTCGCCACTAAGCACACCAGCCGACCAGCATACTGCCTAAGCATAGATGCGTTGACTCTTGGTGCCTCCATGCTTCTTTTTAGATAGGTTTTATACAATTTTAGGTAAGAACAAAGCTAAATATTCCTCATAAAACCGAAGATTCTGAAACTTTGCTTTTCGCGGGAGAATGATTTTTGGCGCGCTCGATTGTCGTTCCCAGCTCCTCGCGATCAAATAAACACAGGAACTAGTAAAGTTAAAACATACTTTTCTCTATTTTTATTCTTTTTTGTTTGTTCCTAAGCTATCTTTTCACCTTTTTATCACATGAGCATATATAAATTTTTATCGTTTGGAAGAAACTAAGTATCATTTTTGAAACAGCAATTGTTTTAATAATAAAAAACGTCAAGACTGGGCTTCCTTTGGTTTTAATAAGACAGTTGCTTGCCTGACTTACTTGCAGGCTCAGGTTACTCGTTTCTATTTTAGGATTCAAAATGGCGGAAGTACGTGCGTGCTAAAAATATCCTTTCTTGTAACGACTTGTTTCCGACATTAATCGTGCTAATTCTAAAAAAAAACCTGACTTTTAATTTACTTCCCAAGCTATAACGAGGACTTCCATGACTTTACATTAAGTAGAAAGTCAAGTTTTTTGTCTTTACTTTATAATTTATCAGTGATACGTACTGCACTGAATTCTTGGAAATGAGCTTCTTGCATAACTTGTACAGAAAGGTTATTCCTGACGGTAGCTCTAGAAGGACAAATTCCTCTGTTAATTGTAATGATAATACTGAAACGCCAGTTTTTGAAGACTTTGATAGTGAAGATGGATTCGTAGTTTATACAGAAAAGACTTCTACAGCTGCTAATAGGGTTAGTATGCACGTATACTCTCTCATACGTAGAAGTATAATGCAGCAATCAATGAGATTAGAGGCTTTTGAAGGTGCCCTTGCAAATATGAATCTTAAAATTTTAAACGATTAAATATCTTATTTAGATATAGATATATAGATATATATTATTTTTTAGCAAACGTACGGTGTTCAAGAACGAATTGAGTACAATACTTTACAGACGAATGCTACTCAAGGAAGTTACAATCCTTCAGGTAGTTGTGCAATCTTTATTTCATCATGCTTTTCTTTTTATATCGTTTATTGATAAAAGAAAAACAATATTTTGATGGGTTTTATTTCTTTTATTTTTAATTATTTTACAGGTTTATCTGGTTTGTCGTCTCCATGTTCGTCCAAAACAAATATGATCTTAACTTCACGAGGAGTAAAAGAGCACCGATCTTCGACGTTTTTAACTGTATCGGATATCCCGCTAAGACTTTGTAAGCATTTGGAAATGATTCAGAATTCGACAAAAGGTTTAACATACCATAGTTCACCTCCTATACATATCGAGGACTATTTATATGACTTTGGTCTTGAAAGAACAGTCATAAATACCGCATATGATGGAGGCAATACTAGAGGAAAGAGATGATAGAATGGTGTCAAATGAGTGATGATAATGGAGTGACGACAGAAAGATCTGGCTAGTCTGTTAAGTACAAGTCAAGGTCTGTCTAAAAACTTATAAATCAGAATGAAACCAAGGCAAAAAGGCAGTGTACGAATCTAGGCGAGAATCTTCGTATATAACATTGTAATATAATGAGCACTATCTTTGAATTTTCACAAGTGAAACATAGGAAGAAGACCACTTCCATAAATGTAAGCACCAGCACCACCTCAAACTATCTGTCGTCATCTATATTTTACTGTTCTGTGCTTTGCTGCGTGGACCACTTCTCGTCGTGAAAACAAATAACCGAGCGTTCAGCGTCGTTTCTAGGCGTTCATATTCGTAAAATCTTGCAGCCCTCTTATTTTTGTTGCCTAAAACTGTCGTATTTTGTTGCTATGACTCCTGGTTTAAAACTAATTCCAGGTGCAGATCTAAGACAGGTTTACTCCATCCTTGCTCCTACCCATCCGTCTCTGCCCATAAATGCCTTAATGTCAGGGACGGCTGAGGTCAAATCTTTGGGTGCGTGGGATAGGAAGGGGAGGGGAGGGGAGGGGAGGGGAGGACTGCAGTCCCCCACTTGAACAACTGTTCCGCCGTCCCTGAATGTGCGGAACATCACATCTCCACGATCATTGTAAAACTTGGCACCAACTTTGTACTCAAAATCCTAGAAGTTCCTATGAACTTCTACTCGTGGTCCAAGTCGTCTTGATGAACCACTGATTCAAATATAATGAAGTCTTTCGGTAATCATTTTCTTTAGCCCTGAGACTGAGTATGTCTTGTTGATGATTACTTGACTTTTAATAAATTGTAACATGAAATTAAAAAGGTCTGACTAAAATGACGATGATTCTTTTGAAAATAATTTCATTGACAACCCTTGTTAATATCTACAGTAAACAAGCGTGGATGCGCTGATTACAAAACCAAATCATTTATTCTGAGAATAAAGATAAATATTAGCAAACACTGAAATCCATCTGGAGTACGCTTAGTGATAATTACTGATTGCAGTGAGTCTCCGTAAATGAAACCTTTGTATTTTCTTTTCATTTGGTTGAAATCTATTTAGCTTTGGACCAAAGCGTAGAAGTATTAATTTCGGCATTATGTATATTAATCTAGAAGGGCAAAATGAGATCAATGAGAGTGGAACGCGACGCAGTCTGATTGGTGAAGAAGCTTGCCGAAATCTTTGATCAATGGCTGACTAATAGTCCACAAAATCTCATTCCCAACTAGTTTTATTTGTTTGCAGAACTTATATCTTTTTGGAAGCTTTAGTTGGAAATTAGTTCTTTTTTTATTTCTGTCTTAAACAGAATGAAATCTCTTTTTTATCGCTAGTGTTTATTTTTACTCATAACAAGTAATAAATACAGATTGAAGACAATGCTACAAACAGCCTGTTAAACAAGATTGTACCACATCAGTTTGTACAACTGACCCATATATAACAGCCAAGCCAATCAGAGTAAATTTCATTTTATAATCAAGCCGACTAGTAATGGTAAAGTTTAATCTCCGCCAAACTAAGATTCAAAATACTTGCATATTCATGCTGTTCGATGTTCTAGACTTTGAGCGAGAACTGAGTGATGTGACTCACTGATGGTCTCGACTAACTGACTAATTCTGAAAAGTCAAAGCAAAAACAGTAAGTACTATATACTATTATAACTCCTCATTTCTGGCTGTTTCAAATTCAAGCGATGGTTAGAGTTATTTTTGTCGAAAAAAAACAACCTTGAAGGGGCGACAGTTGATAGTGTCGATGTTGGCATGACAGAAACTTGAAAAATATTGTCTTTCAAGCTGTCAGTTTGTCTGATAAATTTTTGTTATTGGTTATTCATCGCTTTAAAATACTCTTCCTTCTATTTATACGAAAGTAAAGTAATAAATTACGCTCTTGGGCTAGGAAATAATTTCTAGAATCATTTACGAGTTCAAAGGTTTCAAATAATATACCAATGTCAATTTCGAACTTTTCGCAGAAGTTTATATTGACGACGAATGAATTATTTTCAGTATTAAGTTCCCATCATCATTTTTCCCATTAGGGTGAGAATCCTGTAGGGGATGTTTTTATTCGTCTCGGATGCTTTTTCTGGGAATTTGTTTAGGATATTTGATCCCGAAAGGGAATAGTGAATTTTTACATGGTCCCATTCTGTCACTCGCTTCCAAAATTAATTTAAAAAATGCTGATCTGGAAAATTATGATCCGCTTTTGTCGCGTATAAACATAACTTAAGCATCGATTGTACAATTAGTACACCTTGCAGGTTTGTACGATTCTTTAGTAAATTTGACTTGAATTGAAAGAAACTAGTTCGCCTTTCGGATTTCTAATTTACGATAACAACATATTTCCATGAACTATGATTGAGTTTGGAATTCGTCGGTTTTGATAAGGGATAAGGTATGATGATGTCAGTAAACTATTTTCAGCGTTAAACATCTCCTTGGTCGTCGGTTATTGGTCAGTTCATGTATATGCTGACGTAATGCGGCCCCAAGCTCATATAAAAACAAAGATTGGCCATTAAACCTGTTTGAGACTGCAATCTGCTCGCAGCTGACCTACAAACTCGGCGTGATTCCCAACCATTTAACTACAACAATCCATGTCAGATATCAACGGCCAAGCTCAACTTTGATACCTTGAAAATTGGAAAATAACAGCTAGTTTTTATCAGTAGTCGGTTGATCAAACGATTCTGTACTTTGTTTCTAGGATATTTAGTATATTCAAAACTAACATGCTTGATGGATGAGATCATCCGACAAGCGTCGATCGAGAAACAGGACTCGCTGGGTTCCGGCTCGAGCTCTGCTTGATGTAAGCAGATTCATATTTTGAGAATTTCCCAACTTTTCTAGAATATTCGCCTAAGACTTAATTTCAGTTTTTAACCTTTTTTTTTACCACAACTTCGATATTTTCAAGGTGTTCTTGAGAAATACAGGTTTAGTATAGATGGTAAAACGATCTTGCGAGTGGACTGACCAACTCGACTGGCTAGGTAGAACTGAACTAAAGCAGTATTCCTCAAGAGATGGACTTACTATAAATTGGCAAGTAGAACAGGGCAAATATGATTCAAGATCCAATGATTTCACTTTCGTTTGTATAACTGATGTCATGCACTGTCCAGTTTGCAGGCTTCAAAGCCTCATGTTCCTTTTTTCTCTCGAATGGCTGATCAATAATTTTTTGTAAAATTTTTTTCTGCCTGGTCATAACTGAGCTCAGCAAGTAGTGATTCCTGTTTCTACTACGAGTTTGCTGCTACTAATCTGTTATCTTAATGCATTGACATTCCTGAGTTTGGAATTTTGCGTTGTGCTTTTCAGTTAAACACCCTCGTAAAGGTTAAATACGTTTTCATTGACCTTTTTTTTTAAATGGAGAAACTTATAACAAAAACATGATGTGGCATGTCTTTCCTGGTATAATGAATGAATAGCGAAACCATTGATCATCCACATATGATAAAGATCTATAGCTATATCCATTTGTAACAATTGATCAAATATTGTCAAGAGGAACCGAGTGAATTGGATGAAACAGGCCTTCCGAACAGGGATCAAGAAAACCGCTGGTAATCATATACCTTAAAAATAGACGCAAAGTTGTTTTAAATATTCATTCATTTTCATTCTCTTTTTATCGAACCATTAAGTAACTACATACGGCCTTTAGTGAAAATTGTCGAAATGCGGAAATTGCGCAAATCAATCGCCTCTTTTGCTTGTGTTCTCATTTAAAAGATAATATAATTCAATATCCCAACACAGAGCCGGTGCAGGAAGTCGTAGTCGAAAACCCACTGAACTTAATAAAGAATTGCCTGGTGCGAAAACGACCGTACGTGTAAGACCTGGTTTTCTAAGCGCACAAGCCATCAGTAATTACGTTGAAGAATTTGTCCAGTTTTCCTAATAGAGAACACCTTTGCGTTTGTGTCGCTCAGTTAAGATGGATCTTTTTAGAGAGCAGCGGGCCGGCATTACTAGAGACTGATTTTGAGGAAGAATTGTATGTACTGTGTATTATGTGGAACGTTGTGAACACATTGTGGAAATTCCTTGACGAAAATGGTTTGGCGGAAAGTATAACCACTTTCTACTCAGGCAACTTAAACTCGTACTACTATCACTAGACAATTAAGATCAGTACACTGAAGGCGTACTGATGATCAAACTTGTCTCGCAAGCCAACCCCACAGCACACCGGCAAGTAAACTGCTGCGGAGTCATTTGAATAGCTGGACCGCGTAACCGAGCGCCTTATGCTTGCACCGTTCCCCTAATATTTTTTACCATGAATTTGAGCGTCTGCGCACTCAGTCAATCTTTTATAAATATTATAAAAAAGTAGAATGACTTGGTTTTTAGGAAAAGCGATGCACAACTTGAATTAAAATTCAATTCAAGTTAACTGTACAGATGTCGTGGAGATTAAGAACCTAGGAAAAATATTGCCTAGAGCTCCTTTAAAAAACTTGCCATAGTAAATATCATGGTATAACCTCTGGAGACACATCTGACTACACGTCATTAGCAAAACTTTCACTATTATCGAGCAAGACGAATAGTGATATTTTACACGCCTAAGATTCTTTAGTCAGAATCTCACTCGCGCTGCTCGCCAGAAGCTGCTCTTTCTTTATATGCTTCACACACACACACACACACACACACATACACACACACACACACACACACACACACACACACACATACACATTTAAGTGATATATAGAGCTTTTGAGAGCCTAATTGCTTCTTCGTGGGCGGATAAGTGTGGAGAATTTGGACATTAATGACATTTTCATCGCCAAATACTACTTCCTTTTTCGATTCCATTTCAGTTTCTCACGAAATATTTTTCAGCTAAAAACGTTCAGTCGTTTTTGTGCTATGGGATAACAGAGAGAAAAAATTGCAGTGGAATTTAAGTTACGACTCTAAAAACCTCGATGTCCTAGGCAAAGAGCATAGTGGGGGTAGTCGTAAAACGCTTTACGTCTCTTCACTAAACTAGAGGATCACATTTGAGATAAGTTTGTTCTGATGACTGGAGGTGTCTTTTCTCTTCCTTGTCACTCTACTTTCAGCATGCTAACTGAGTGCATAATAGTAAATGTTAATCAGCTAGTTGTTGGAGGGCAGGCAGTCATCAATAAAATGCCCAGAGCTAGGGATTGGCAGTCGTAAAATTTTATAAGCACTCGAAAATCTAGACTTTGTCTGTAGCACGCACTGTTCAGTGACCTTCCTCGTCTTCCTCCGAACCAGTCGGCGCTATAAACTTGGTCAAACATATCTCTAAATATTTGTGAGTACATAGAAGAAAGTAACATAGTTTAACAAAAGATAGATTATGTGGTATATAAGTTCTCAGACGTTAATTTATATCTGGTTTTAACCAGAACAAACTGACAAGTTTCAACGGCAAGATTATTCCCGCATGATTCACTATAGACAAGCTATAGACAGTGCCATGCAATACGGAACGTTCGGGGAGTCTTATATAGACTATGGACCGGTTAAGGGCGGTAGGTATCAACAAATTGGCAATTAAAATATAGGCATAATGATTTAACCTTTGTTTTTTACCGATTGACAATGCTCTATTTTTACAGTTCCATTCAGTGACCACGATGATAGTTCCTAGCCGAGGCTGGAGTTACCGCGCATAATAAACTGTAGTTTTCCTATGCGCGGAAACTCCAGCCTCGGCTAGAAACTATTATTCGTGGATACTGTTTTGAATTCCTAGTATTTATCTTTACGATAAATAGGTCATGAGTGACGAAATTAATAACTTAATTTTAATTTTTCAGTTTTCTATTCCTTTATTCAGTTTGATCATAGAAATTAACCCAGTTCAGTTTGAAACTGAAACGAAGGCTCGCAGCAATAAAACTCAACCGCAACACCAATTGATATCTTACAGATAGTAAAACTCACTCAGACTAGTAAACTATATACACTGGACTCAGGGTGGGTTTTTACTAGTAAGCCGGATTTGCTGAAACTGAGCTTTCTTCTATATTTAACATAAACACTTGCCTGAAGCAAAGCGACAAAAGACGAGAGCCATATATATTGACTCAGTTTTATTAGATTTTGCTATTTAGCAGCAATTTTCAAACAGTATTTCTGTCGACAATAGACGAGTTTAACCTGTTAACTGCTCTTTTACAATATGACTACAGCCTTTACCGACCCTGCAAGAGCCATCTTATTTCGCGTGTCGCACTCTTGAGAATAAGATTCTTTGCGATTTTTCTTTGGGGGGAGGGGGGGAGGGTGAGTTACATTCTTATGTCGTAAGTCTTATCTTGAGTTTTATCGCATGAAAATGCGCAGTAACATGTGGTCTTAAATGGGAAAACATTATATTATAATTACGCCCTAAGTAAAAATGTCTATCACATTTGAATGTGGAAACAATGTATACAGGAATATAGTATCTTTGTAATTGCATTTTCATCAAAAAATATGTTCACTGTTCTTCCCCAGACCATTGGACACAGCTTTAATTCCAAAGAATTCTTTAATTTTTAATGCGTGTAGTTTAAAGCGTTGTTTTCTCTAGCAATCAACGCAAGCCGACGCAACTCCATGTGTTCAGTGTCAAAGACGCGACGCAAGAGCAAACGTAGAAACGCAAGAAAAAGATTTTGTTTTTCTTGCGTTGACTTGCGCTTGTGCTCATGCTTGCGTTGGCTTGCGTTACTATATTACAAAGGATTGTTTGAATATAATGGAGGGAGGACAGGTATAAAGTGGTCATATAACATGGGCTTCCATGAAGCTAAAGGAATCACACACCGAGTTAAACTGGGGTAAATTTTTTCCTCACCATTTCAGTCCACGTGTCATTCCTATTATGTGTTATAAAGTGCTAATCTATCATTTGGTATGAACGAAATTTACATGTTATGGGCTATTTGATATTTAGTGTGCACACACTAAACCCGTGAAACAAATACTAACTTTTAGTACTAAATGGTGATAAATAAACAATAGAAAACAAAGGATTCTGTATGAAATAGTACTAATTAGTACTAATTAATGTTCACGGATTTAGTGCGTGTACTCTAGTAAAATCTAACTAGTAGTCTATCATCAATGCTGCATTCTGATTGGATGAATTACTACTAGGCTATAAGTTATAGCCTACAAGTAGCAATGAAGTACCAGCTTTGAAAACCAAAGCATTAAAGCTAACTTTAATTCAAAACTTTTTTGCATATATATTTGACCAACTAGTTGGACTTGACTAAAACAATATTAGCCTTCTCACCCTCATGGCCTGTGAGTCAAAAGCCCATTCGAGCTCGAGGACTAATTGCTAAATAGTAATTATAAATGCTTCACTTAACAAGTCATTTACCATATACCTATTCAACTATAAACAAGCAAATATTTATGATTGATAAGCATCGATATTAACCACTATAATGAAAACTTGGACATTAATATGAAGGCAGTGACTACACACGATAATCTTTACACGATAATAAAATTTTGTAAAATTTTGCTCAAGGCGCTAGGCTAGACACTTAAAGATGACGTCACAAAGACATTTTTAATTGTTTAAGAAATAGTGAATGAATATGTCAGCAGTTTTTGATTGAACAACACTCTCTGCTCTCAAACGTTTTTTAGAAAACAACTGATTGTTGATTGCGCTGTTGAATCGACAAACTCAAAAACTCTTCTCTCAAACTAACTCTCGTTAGTGGTGTCAGCAAAATAAGTCGCTAAGAGTCTCTGTCACTAAGGACAAAACTTAAACGATTTGTCTGCAAATTCAGTCGCGCTATCATCTACTAACTTTAATGGAAATTCATTGAGTTAAGGTCAGTGGACGTAGCTAGAGGGAACGATGTAAGAAATCAGATATAGTTATAATCCAAAGGACATTTTACCCTCCGTGATCGCACCAACATATTTGTTGGTACATAAGTATTCCTTTTCCAGCGATAGTACTATCAAATAGCCTTGGGGTGGTAGGATAAATCATCTGGAGCATCTATACTGTCTCATGTATACTGTATGTAAATTCACAGAACCATTATAGCTGTAGCAGAATTAATTGCATCATGACCGCATGGGTAGGTGGTAGAATATTTCAATAGACTGCAAAGTGCATGATAAGATAGAAATATAATATATATTAATATTCAACCCACGCCCACATTCGCTCGGGAAAAATAGTGTTATAGACGAATAAAAAAACCTGCAATAGAAAATTAGCCCTCATGGGAAAGACTCCGACATGCAGTGTGTCCTGGGAACTTCAGTGTCGGAGTAATGTTTGATTCGCGCATGCGTTTTTCCTGGCACGTCCAGACAGATGCTGGAGAAATATTAGTCCAAATGAATACATTATTAAGCAGAGCTCTGTGGAGCTCGAATATAGGAAGGTTAGTTGTGACAAATAAATACTACAAGCTTTTAAGTGAAGAAGTAATGTTAACTATGCAACACAATCTTGTAGTCCACTTCGTAGGAGTTTAAATTTTTTGTTCTGGGTTGAGAAGAAATGGCTGTTCGTGTTTTCAGTAATTCAGCTTGAATTTTGATAAAGATCTACTGTTTTTTCCCCCTACTAACTGAACAGTTTTTAAGTCCTAGTGTTAAATTCCCGCGGGTTATTCGATCCTACCCTGCGAGCAGAGGTTTTTTTCTGACCCTCCGTGGAGCTGGCTGTCGGGGAGCTCCACGGAGGGTCAGAAAAAACCTCTGCTCGCAGGGTAATTCGATCCAGATATTTAGTTTGGTTCCAGTCGCTCTGTTTTACCAACTATCCAGAGCCTGAATTATCGCTATTCAGCAGTTTCGTTTTCATATGCCATAAACTTCATCTATATGGCATCACCATTCAATAATCATAGCTTTTTATGGCATGCACCACTGCCTACTGATTTGGTTGCTAAATGGATTACCAGTTACCAAGTTTACCTGCCGAAACAACTAGAAGATGTGGCGGAGTGGTTTAGGTACTGATTAAAGGCCTCTTCTCACTCTCACTACTAATTCAATTCAGCCGAAAGGTTTTGTGTTTCAGCTAGGCTTGAGAAATATGCAATTGACAGAAAAGGGCAACAGACACAAGATAACTTTATCTGTGTTAAAAGGAGGAGGTTTTTGAATCGTGGTTCCACCTGCTGTTGATGGATATTGGAGCACCAATGCACTTGATCTTGACCTCTTGGACACTATAACTCACACAGAGTTGCCAGACGTACAACCCTACAAAAGAAGCCGCGTACGATTGTCGATAAACCTTCAATTTTATCGATGCCCTGAAACTGCCTTTGGGCCATTGGGCTGATATTACCAATGTGAGGGCAAAGCTAGCCAGGTTTTGCGGAGGGTGCGAGAATGGTTAAGAAGTTAAGAGTGACTGTCTGTAACGATCAAGCAAAATTCAAAATCCGTGGCAAACTTCGAAAAATCGATTTCGCTCATACTTTCAAGTTAGTTAGGGTAATGTATCCTAAGAATCGCTGTATGGTTGGTTTGATCAAATAACGCTTTATTATGGAGAAAAATGGAATTTTTCAAACACTCCCGAAAACGCCGTTCGCGACAGTAAATTTTGACTCAACTTTCGCGGCTGCTTGACAAAAAAAAAGCAATACTGGGGATTAAAACAACCCATATTCTTGAAGAACAATCTATTGAGTACGATATGCGTGACTTTGGGATCAATTGTACAATTTTAAGATAACAAAATAATTTTATT